GGTTTGAATTGAAAGTTTAACAATATTTTAATTTCTTAAAAGTGTGTTTTGCAGTCAGAGAGAGAGTACAGAGGGTAAAGTGTTTTTTTTACATGAAGTTAACCTGAATTCAATCCCCTGTGCCACATATGGCCCCCCAAGCCCTGTCAGGAGTGATCCCTGAGCACAGAGTTAGGAGTAAGCCTTAGTACCATTGGTGTGGTCCTTAAACAAAACATAAAGTACATTTTATGTATTATAGTAGGTGTTTAAATATTATATATTCAAATATATTTATTTTGATACTATACCCATAAATATATCTATGCACTGCATGTATCAATACTGTCACTGTCACTGTCCCCCGTTGTTCATCGATTTGCTCGAGTGGGCCCAGTAACACTGTGAGACTGTTACTGTGTTTGGCATATCAAATACATACTTTTAAAATAAGTGCTGGTTTGATTAAATCATTGATAAATGTTTCACTCTTCTATTTATGATAGCAGAAATAACTCCTATATGATAATGATTAATCTGGTAATCGAATCCAGTTTGCCTTTTAAATAATTTAACTTTAGTAAATTAAAAAAGTTTTCTGAGATAGTTAGAAAATTAAGAAAGGGGGAAAAAAAACCCAGAAACACTGCTTTCGGATATGTAGCTTCCCTTTAAATGAAACCTTTCCAAGTGTGAAGACTGCGTTCGGGTTTTACCAAATGAATGCTCTTTGTGTCGAAAATCGGATCTAAATCGTGATTTGAACTTTACAAACCACAACCATCTTTCCATTTGAGCAAACTCCTGCTGAAAACTGACCGAGTAGGGGGGATTATCTCAGACCTCTGGGGATAGCCCAGGAAATAAAAGCAGCTCTAAAGGAATTGTGCGAGATTGACTCAAACAGGAATTCCTTTCTAGAAGCCACGAGGTTGTAGATTGGGTGTTTAGTGCCATGGAGAAAGGGGGGAAGCCACGGGTTTTCTATTGGTCCAGGGAGCCAGTCCTGAAGCCCTTGCGTGGGCCGAGCGTGTGCTGCCGTCTCCGGGGGTGATCAAATCCGCCCCTCACCCCGCAGGGAGGAGACTGTCTGCTGACCGCAATCATACACCTGCCAGTTCCCAGATAAGCCCTCCACATGCCCAGGCACTCACCCCGCTGTGGTGGAGGAGCCGAACCTGCCCCCTCCCTCGCCTGTACCCGAAGAACAAAGGGCAGTCGGTCCTTTCTCCCCTCCTGAGTCAGATGCACGCACACGCCTTCCATCACAATTAACTCAACACAAACTCGCCGGCCACACACTCAAAATCAATGTCATCAATACCCAGAACGAGGATACCAAAAAAGCAAAACAAACCTATTCAAAGAGTAAACACTCAGAAGCAACAGGACTCCTCCGGTCAGACACTGCAAGGTCAACCGCAGAGACGAGTTCAAGTGCAGGGTGGGTCTCATCAACTGAAGAGCCGCCAGGATCCCGATCCCCAGGGACCCCAAACCCAGATGCCTTCAGAGACCAGGCTGATGAAAAGATCCATAAGATACTAGAGAGGGGCTGCTGTCAGGAGCTGGACCGCAGGTGTCCCAGGTAAAAGCATTTACATTCCCTTCTTTTAAAAAAAATTTCAGTGCTAGTGTTGCTCTCTTAAACAGAGCCTGCCATCAAAGGGAGAAGAAACAGACTTAAATAGGGGCGTGGGGGTAGACGAGTAGAGTAAGAACAGAGTAAGAATCAGCATTAGCAAGGTTGCCAAGGAGTCCACAGGGAATGAAAGGCCGGGCCCAGAGCCCAGTGGTCATTATTTGTAAGGATGGCGACCCACTTGGTTTCTATCTTCAAAGGCAATAACAAGACTAAAGTGAATAGAAGTGGCTTAAGCTGTAATGTGAGGGATTCAAGATTAGTCAGATAGATGCTTGACATAAGTAATTGAGCTGGATTACAAAAAAGATCGCGAACATTCCCTTGGAAAGCTCGAAATAAATGGAGCCTCTGGAGGCGAATAGTGTGGCCTTATTGGAAGGCAAGGAGGGGGGGAGGGGTGTGGGGGGCTGAATGACCTCCCAAGGTCCTGATTTAAATATGTCTGTAGAGTCAACCCCTGGTTATCCGGTCCAGAGAAGAAGACAGTGACAAATCATCCTTAGCTGAAGATAATAAAAAGTTATATTTGCCTTTGGAATGTATTTTGGTACTTAAATTAGAGCGTGTCTTTCGGATGCTCTGAGAATTCACAATGCTTCACCACAGCCACAAAGAAGGCCTGACCTGGAGCTGGGAAGCTGCCCAGTTTTGCCATCCTGTCCTCCACGTAACTCTTGTGATTTGCTGGGGGAGCAATATCTTCTTTCAAAAAAAAAAGGCCAACTTATCCCCTTCTCAAAAAGAGGCTGCCTGGCTCCTCCCTTCCCTGGGAACAGAGACACCCCAGTCAGGCTGGTTGACACCCAGCATGGCCTACTGTTGTGTCTAGATGGCTCCAGAGTGCTGCGGAACCCGCAGGAAGCTCAGCCAAGCTTAGGTGTCCACTCTAAACAAACCACAGATGAGAGCTAACCTCTCTCCCATAGAGGACACAAGATACAATGCCTGGAGTCTCTTGGAGAAGCAAGAGAAAAAGACTTCACGGAAAAAGAAGCTGAAATGAAGGCTAGAAAGAAAGACATTGAGTAGGATGGAGGCCTGTCCTTGAGCTCAGGCACCAAGACCAAAGGAGAACATGGCCAAGGGGAAACTTGAGCGCTGGAGAGATTGTACAGAGAGGAAGGCACTTGCTTTGCATGTGGCTGTCCCAGATTCGAGACCAACACCCCATATGGTCCCCTGCTCACCATCATGAGTGATCCCCGAGCATTGCTGGATGTGAGCCTTGAGCACCATTGGATGTGGCCCCAAATATGAAGAACTAAAAAAATAAGGGGAAACTTGAGAAGCCCCCAAGAAGAAGTGAGGAGAGTTGCCTTGTTCTTTGTCTTCTCAGGAGGCTGGTACATCCAAGCCAGAGGTGGTACCGCTCAGAACATTGTGGAAATGGAGCCAGGTCTTCCCACTGGAGAGTGGAAGATGGGGGCTGACTCTGGGAGCAGGGCTGGCCAGGAAGGCCCCTCTCTCATTCAGAGCAACTGGTGGTCTCAGCATTGGACATGGCCAAGTTACTCAGAGCCGGAAGACAGCTTAAATGAGTTCTATCCTGGCACTATATGGCCCTGCCCTCCTAGCACCATGGGGTTGGTCCATGGTGATGCCCAAGCATGGACCACTGCCCTGGGCACTGCTGGGGAGCAGCCTTGGCCCTGAGCCTCACTGCTGGGTCTGGCCTATATTTAAAAGGAAGCTCACTCTGGCCTTAGGGTCGTTGCAACCCTTTCTATCTCCCCCCACACCCTTTCCCATCATACCCCACTCTTTAGCTTTCCCTCAGGAAAGCCCAGTCCTGGACTGTCTAATTGGAATGTGGCCATATAATAAAAGTGAAGTGAAATGAAAAATTCAGCTCTTCAGTCACAGCGACCACATTTCAAGTGCTCAGCAGCCACCTGTGGCCAGTGAAGAGACACCCCAGGGAATAGCGTACACATGGGTTGCTGATCAGCACAGGTCTTAGCCAGGAAGTCTAAGACCTGGCACCCTCTCCTGTCCGCAGAGTAGTGGAAAAGGAAAAAAGAGACCTGCATGCCCCCCACCCCCATGTCTTTCCCACCCACCATTCCCATGGGTTCCTACGCACTGCCCCAAGTGGTCAGCAGGGGTAGATTGCCCTGAGCCCACTGTTACAGTTGAGGAAAGTAGGGATGCACTGGTAACTCACTCATGCAAGGGTCACAAACACGGTGGTGAGGTGGGAATAAGAAACAGACTCTTCCATGCCCAGCCCTTCCCACCCCCCGACTTTCCATGATCACGTGTCATGGCTGCCGAGAATGTGATAGGTCAGTTAGCTTGTGATGAGCATCCTGAAATGCTCCGGATTCCCAGACCCAGAGCTGTGGGTCTCTCCCATTAACCGAAAGACAGTGCGATGACTAACCTCTGTTCAATGCAACACGGAAGCTCCAAAGTGAGGGAGCCTTGGGGTTCAAATCCTGGCAGGCTCACTTCCATTGCCCTGACAGAGGCTAAGTGGTTACTGTCTCAAGAGTCCCGAGTTCCTTTTCCTGTACGCACACCTCAGTGTTGGCAGAAGGATTAAATAAGACAAGTATGAGAATGGCTCAGTGTGCTGCCTGGCCTAGAGTAGCCTGCCCCCACGAATGATCATTGTCAATGGTGACTGTTAGAATTGGTAAAGCCCTAGCAAGGGCCCTGGCTGGCAGAGGCGGCAGGACAAGCAGGCGTCACTACCTGCCCATCTGATAGATGGCACGTTTGACTCTCAGTGAGCAGGGATGGACTCAAGGTCAAACCGCTGGAAAGCTGTCGATCTAGGGGAGGGACTTAGCACTGGAAACTGGGAATCTTCCACCTCCTTCCTTCCCCCTCCCCCTTTGGCTCCAAAATGTTGCTTCTCACGGGAGAAAGGAACAAGTGCACCAAGGCATGGATTCCAGGAAATATAGCTATCCTTCTTCATTCCTGTCTTCCTCCCTCCAGACAAGCGCTATTTTCTTAGTCTGAAGCACAGTGCCGTAAAAAGGTAGCGTTGAATAGGCATTTCTATCATAATTCTCAGTCCTAAGCCCCTCTTCCTAGGAGGCCCTAGCACCCCTATGCTGACGAGAGAGTAACACCCGTGTAAAGAGGCTTAAAGAAAAGAGAGCCTTGGAGCGCAGTATTCAGCTTCTCCCCACCCCCACATCAGAGACTTTTATGCCCACATACCCTTTGTCCCAGTTCACTGCTACAGCAAGGGCAGGGACTCAGTATCTCGCATCCCCAGCCCAGCCCAGCCAAGAGTTCGCCCAGTGGGAACTTGTGTCATTGCAAGTCCCCGAATCTGGGGGTTACTTGTTACTCAGCCTCAAGCCTCATCCCAGCAAAAGCTTATTAATGTATCTACCAGACGCACAGTGGAGCCACTTACCCTGCCACCACGATTTCAAAGTCCCCATCATGGTCCACATCAGTGACAGCCACACCATAGTTGAGCTGGGTGGGGTTGCTCTCATAGTCGGGGGGCAGCACCGAGTTGGTGACTGCCGTGAACATGGGCTCTGCCCGCTGGGACCCTTCCATGGTGGGCAGCAACCACAGCAGCAGCAGGAACAGAAACATCCTGAAGATCTGGAACCAAAAGGTACAAGGGTGATGCAAACATCTCATCGCCGAAAGATCCCAGGCAAATCTAATGGGGGCAAGGGAGAAATGCTTTTCTCTCCTGTTCATGAGGAGGTGCGGGGTCAGCTGGGGGAGGAGGCGCTTTGAAATTCCTAAGCACCTTTTCTCCTCCCCCTCCCCAAGTCCCTTCCCACCGTGCCTTATCATCCTTATCCACCTAACTCTGTTTTTTCTTTTTTTTCTATCACTCTTGAACATGCCACAGGATGCACTTGTTCGTTGTGTTTATTATTTATTGTCTGTCTCCCGCTGCTAGAACATAAACTCCACCAGGACAGGGATTTTTATTTTGTTCTCCAACAGGGCCCAGCACACAAAGGCACACAATACGTGCATCCTGAGTGGTGAGCCAAAGAATGATCGTGCAGGAAGATGCAGGCCTCTCCCCTACTCTGGGAGCAAGGCAGGGGGAATGAAGAAAATAACAGATGTCAAACAGACTAGGGGAAGCATGAGACCCCCCCAAACACACACACACCCTGAAAATCCAGGGCTAGAACAACGGTAGAGACAATGAAAGATGATCTTGCTGTGGAACATATCCTGAAGGTCACCTGCAGGAAATCAGGGTCCCCCAGCCCAGATTTCTCTAGTGGTGGGGGAAGGAACGTTGCTGGCCAAACCAGGAAGCAGCGAGTTAGGGAATGTATTCCAGTGGGATCTGGCAGGCAGCTCATCATTCATTTGGAGAAATTAAACCATTGCATGCGTGTTTTATTATAAATTAATTATGTATAATCCATTGTATAATTCATTATTATATCTCTAACATAACTCAGGGTGTTGCCAAGCAGCCTGGGGCCATGGGAGCTGGTGGCAAGCACCCAGGCCAAGGAAGTGGAAAGACTCCTCCCCTCCTTGTGCGAGCAGGGGAGCCACTGAGAACGCTACAGATGGTACCACCCGGAGTCTCTGCCCGCAGGCTGAGACTCAGAACTCACAGAGTGTTCTGGAAGGCTCTGCTGGAACAAGTCCCTCCCAGACTGTACGGGTATGGTCCCACAAGCAAAGCAGAGCCTCCCTGCCTTCAGAAGGTGGCAACCCCTTACTGATGGAACTTTCTCTGCTGACAGCCGGGAGCAAGGCAGAGTGAGGTTGATGTCTTAATGAGCAGATCTGAAAACTGACTCCCCAGATAGGGATGTTTGCCACTGCCAGAGAATGAGCTTGGTCTGGTTCAGGACCCAAAAGGGTGGAGGCAGGGCCTTTGCACCCCAGCTGATCCAGGAGCACCTCGAGTGCCTTGTGGAAGAGACTGGCAGGAGACACAGAGGGGAGGGTGGTAATTGCAGGACAGTCTTGGGGAGCCTTCCTGGGCAGGGGGTTCTTGTAGCAAGTTCAAGGAGCTGACATTGAGAGTGGCAGGGGAAGGGTCAGTCCAAATTACAGCTGTCTGAACAAGACAGCCCATTCCACTGGGCTCTCTCATCACCAAAGACACATACATCACTGCAAGAGTTCAACTGGGAAGGTTGCTTAGTTGGATAAAGAAAACTCATAACTAGATTAATGAGCATCTGGTGGGGTCAGGAGTGAAGCTAACGAGTATTTCACAACCGGGGTAGACATGTTGGAATGTAGCACGGGTCTAGAGTTCCCAGGACTCTCTAAGGTCTGACCTCCACTGGCAAGATGGTAAATGGATTTCAACTTGAGAGCAAATCCAATTGATTGCTGTGGCTTGGAAGAATATTGTGATCAGCTTACAAAGTTGGCAAAGGACAAGGGTGAAAAAGTGGTGGCGGGTGTTTCTTCTCCAAGCCAGTCTGGTCCTCCTGAGAGCTACGGCTGCCTTTTGGGAGGCAGGTTCTACTGCAATAATAAAGGCTCTTGCGGCACTTTTTTCAGCAAGGGATGAGGGGTAAGAATCATGATCTTGCCTCTTGTTTTATGTGTCTTGTTTTTCCTTCGCTTTTTAGGTCACACCCGGCAATGCACAGGGGTTACTCCTGGCTCTGCACTCAGGAATTACCCTTGGCAGTGCTCAGGGGACCATATGAGATGCTGGGAATGGAACCCGGGCCGGCCGCGTGCAAGGCAAATTCCCTACCCGCTGTGCCATCGCTCCAGCCCCCATGATCTTGTCTCTTGAATTGTCCCTTTCTTATGAAAAGCAAAGCTTGACTGGAGCCGAATGCAAGAGCGAATGGCTCTGCGCTATCCGTCTCCAGAGAAGTGACCTGAAGCATGATGGAAAGGAGACAACACACCTGTGGGCCTCATCTCTCCTTTGCTGGGTGACCTTGAATGTGTCACAGCCCCATCAGTCCCTGCTTTCTGCTCCCAACTGTGGGCTGGGGGATGCATCTCTAAGGATCCTTTCTGGCTCTAGTATTCTATGGTGGATGAAAGGATTTTTCTCAGCACCAGGCAGTGCTCAGGGGTTACTTCCAGCTCCGTGTTGAGGGGACGGTGCGGTGCTGGGGATAAACCCAGGCTCCAGCATGCATTGCGTGTCTTCTTGCCTCTCCTCCATCTCCCAGTCCAGGTCATTTTCTAAAAAGCAGATTTCCAATGTTTCTTTTTTCTTCCCAGCTTCTTTGATAAATTCTAGACTAACCTGTGGGTTTTCTTTTCTGGGCTTATTGCACATATTTTGAGTAAAATGGCTTTTCAGCAGCTTCACAGGGGTCCAGGCCAGAGAAGAACCTAGAGCATGAATCCATGGGGTATGGGCAGCACAGTGGGGGGTGATGGGGAGGGGGGAGGGATCAAGGATGAGTACACTTTACATTTCATCTGTCCCCTGCCCAACACACCCAGTGTACTACTGGGACTGCTCAGTACCCACCCCCAAAGGGAAGCTGTATTGCTGGTGGATCAGAAAACAGCTAGAGGGGAGGATCTCAGGGGGGAGATTTCCTGTCTCAGGGCTCAGCTAGAGGCATCGTTAAAATGGCCCTCTTCATCCTGCCTCTTCATGCTGACTACTCAGAGGGGTCCCCAAACTTCCAGCAGCAGTAGCATGGGGGACCATATTACAAATGCAGGATCTTGGGTTCCCTCACTCACACCTGATCAGCGTTTTAACATTTCAGGTGAGTCAAATCCAGGTCAAGTTTGAGAAACCGCTCCAGTTTTGCTGTGTGTTGGAATTACTTGGGGAGCTATAAAAAATTCACACTAGTCTGATCTGATTGATCCAGTAATATATTTTTTGGTGATGATACCAGACTACAGGTGACAAAAGAAAAAAATATATCGACAAAATGGGCTAGCTCCAAAGGTAAAACTTTTGTGCATCAAAGGATGCCAACAACAGAGTGAAAAGAAAAGCCATGCAGTGGGAAACAATATTTGCAAGTCATCGATCTGATAAAGGATTGCTCTCTAGAATACACAAAGAATACCAGCCAGTCAGTGACAGAAACAACTCAATTCCAAATGGACAAAGAACTTGAATATACATTTCTCCTAAGAAGGTATGTAAGTGGCCAATAAGTCTATAAAAATATGTTCAACATCACTAACCAATGAGGACATCCAAATCCATACCACAGTGAGATAAAGAATGTCTCTAATGAACAACAAAACCTAGAAAGTTGCAATTGTTGGTAAAGAGGTAAAGAAAATTGTCCCTTGGAAATTGTCAAAGGAAATAGAAAATGGTGAAGCTACTGTGCAGAATGACTATGTAGCAATTCCTTAAAATATCTGAAGTTTGGAGCTGGAGCGATAGCACAGCAGGTAGGGCATTGGCCTTGCATGCGGCCAACCCAGGTTCGATTCCCAGCATCCCATATGGTCCCCTGAGCACCACCAGGAGTGATTCCTGAGTGCAGAGCCAGGAGTAACCCCCTGTGCAATGCCAGGTGTGATCCAAAAAAAAAAAAAAAAAGCAAAAAAAAAATCTGAAGTTCAATGGCATGCAACCTAACAATTCCAGTCTGGGGCTGCATTCCAAAGAACGACTATGGGGCCAGGAATGTGGCTCAGTAGTAGAATGCATGAATTACATGCCTCAGTGCCTGAGTTGGACCACTGGTTCTGCAAAACAGGAAGAAAAAAAAGAACCTAGTTGTCCATCGCCTTATAAGCGGCCAACATGGCCGACCCGAGTTCGATTCCTCCGCCCCTCTCGGAGAGCCCGGCAAGCTACCGAGAGTATTGGATATGCCAGACACAGTAACAACAGTCTCCAATGGAGACGTTACTGGGCCCGCTCGAGCAAATCGACGATCAACGGGAGGGCCTTTACCTTTACCTTACCTTCCCAGGAGAATGGGTGGACAGCAGAACAGATAAACAAAATGCAGTATATGCATATGGCAGAACTGATGGTTGCTAAGGAAGGTGAAAAAGGAATACAGGGAATTAGTGTGGAAGGAATGTGGAATTTCAGTTTGGGAAGAGGAAATAGTTCTGAGGATGAATGTTAGAGATGGTAGCAGAATGTGAATATATTTCCTAGTACTTTGAAATATGTAATGTATATATCAGTTTATAAATGTTTGAAATGTTATTTGGTTCAAATGTTAAATTTATGTTACAAATATTTTCCACCAAAAAGAATCCCAAATATTTTGATGAAGGGGTCTCATCCCAAGATAACTCCACTTAATTTGAGTGCAGAAGAAGCATCCGATTCAAAACCTTCCCATGTGACTCTAATGTGTTGTGGAATTTGAGAAACAGTGTTCTCCATCAGTGCCTCTCAAAGTCGAATGTGCACAGCTATCTCCCGGTGATTTGTTAAAATGTAGATACTGATTCAACTGGACAGAAAAGCCCAAGAGTCTATATTTCTAACAAGTTCCCAGGTTCCATTGATGTTGCTGGTCCATAAACACCATAGTGAATAACACATTTCTATGCAATCACTCCCAGAACGAAGAAATCAGGCTAGAGTGCAGAACAAAGGTATGAGATTAGTTCCAGAACGTTCTCCTTTGCTTCTAGAGTTAAAGGGTTGAAATCAACTGGAACTAATCAACTTCCCACAAGGT